CAGTTTTTTCCTCAGTTCACATCAGTTTACATCCGTTTCTCATCTGTTTACATTCATTTTCATAAGTTTACATCCACTTTTCACCCGTTTACATCCGTTTTTTACATCCTTTACCAATGCAAAAACAGACTGTATGTCCATTTACATCTGTTTTTTTTTGTCTGTTTACATCCGGTTTCTGTCTGTTCCAGAAGAAAAATAGGGTTTTCTTCCGTTAAAAAAAACGGATGTGAACATTAACCACTTCAGGTCCGGACACTTTTACCCCCTTCCTGTCCAGGCCAATTTTCAGCTTTCAGTGCCATCACACTTTGAATGACAATTGTGCGGTCATGCAACACTGTACCCATATTAATTTTTTTAGCATTTTTTTGAGACAGATAAAGCTTTATTTTGGTGGTATTTATTCACCGCTGGGATTTTTATTTTTTTTGCTATGTAAATGAAAATGTCCAAAAATTTTGAAAAAAAGTGTTTTTCTTATAAACTTTTGCAAATAAATAATATTTTATCATAAATCTTGGCCAAAATTTATTCCTTTATCTTTTCATTAAAGAAAAAATAACACAAATTAGTTAGTAACCAAACATAATTTTATTTTTTTTTTTTTTACATTTTTATATATATATATTTTTTTAACATACTGTCACCCTAGCAGTACAGTGTCGCCATGGTGACACTGTACTACTTGGGGGGTGATTTAAGATTTTTTTTTTTTTTTTTACACTGATTGCTTTTACACCCATAAAGACTGTAAAAGCAATCATTTCTCCTTCTCTTTAGCTGCATTCTTGCAGCCATTGAGAACTACTGTGTGAGCTGTGATTGGTCACAGTTTGTCACATGGTACAAGGCTGTTGTGAATAGCCTTGTACCATGTGACCTCTGTGATAATTAAGATTTCACACGTAGTAAGCAATAATGTCAGAAGTGACATCTTGCTTACTACTCTGCATGTGATCAATGATTGGCCAATCAGTGATCACATGATCGGGACCTCACACAGAGGTCCTGTACGACGATCGGGTTTCCACTGTGTCCGTAGGACACAGCGGGCACCAGATTGCGGTGCTGCGCGCTCCCAGGGAGCACGCACAAGCAGGGGGTGGGGGAGGCCATTTATAAACGGCCACCCGACCCTGCACTACCACTGTCCGGCCATTTATAAACATCGGCTGAACGGGAAGTGGTTAACAGATGCAAACAGAAGATCCGTTTACATCTGCTAGTCCATAGAAATACATGGGTGTCCCTTTTTTTTCATCTGTAAATGGAAAGATGAAAAACGGACATACGGAACACCCGCGTGAAAGGGGCCTAACTCTAAACTGGTGACCTCTAAAGGCTTTTATCCCCATCAGTGTCATGTCCGTATGTCCTACAAACCTGACAGTGGGGGGATTGTACACAATCTGGTGGTTACAGACTCCCGCCTATCAGGTGGAAGTGGTTAGTTGGCTATGCTGCCTGCCCAAATGCATCCACAGTCACTCCAAAGGTGGCCCCCCCCGCATGCACGAGCTCCCACCATGTATTCCGTGCTCCCTTTGCCCATATGCGGGCCCAGGGGGAGTGCCATGGCGGGTGGAGGGGAGAGCGGAGAGGACAAACATCCGCTCTTCTCCCCTTGTTGCTGTGTATGACGTCACTTCCGGGTTACGGTTGTCACTATCCCGGCTAGACTAGCCAGAGAAACATGTATTGCAATACCATCTGCATTGCAATACATCCAGTGGAGCCCAGAGACGACATGTGGGGTCTTTTAGAGCCTGCATGTCTCAATAAAGAGAACCTGTCACCTAAAAATCAGCACATTTGTGTCCTCTATGGGATGAAGAAAAAAGTTACGTAAAAAAAAATAAAATAAAGCTACACCCAAGCACATAACACCCCCCCCCCCCCCCCAAAAAAAAAAAAAATTGATGCCCTCCCATCCCCCACATATTCGAATGTAAACGCACACGTCGGGGCGCCTACGCGCAGAAGTGACTATTGTAATGCACGTTATATATCACCGCACACGCTGGAATGAGAGCAACGATTCTAGCACCAGACCTCCTCCATAAAATGGAACTGATGACCTATAGGGGGCTTTAGAAGCGTCGCCTATAGAAATTATAGGGTACTGAAGTTTTTTGGCATTTCACAGAGTTTAACCTCGCTGCTGATGCGGGTGGGTGTTTCTAAATGTCCCCCCTGCAGCCATTGCCTGTGTGCACTCCCTGGGAGTACGCGGCACTGCGATCGGTGCCCAATGTAAGGGACATCTGTGTGAGGTCCCGATTCATGTGATCAATGATTGGCCAATCAGTAGAAAACAAGATGTCACTTCCAGACAGGGGTGGACTGACAACTCATGGGGCTCCTGGGCAACAGGGGATCATGGGGCCCCTGTGTCCTCGCCCATACTCAAACCACACCCAAAAAAGCCTATGAAAAGGTACCAGGGGTATCTCATGGGGTCCCCTACTGACCCCGGGCCCTCGAGCACTGCCCGAGTTCCCAAATGGTCAGTCCGCCCCTGCTTCCAGACATCATTGCTCACTACTTGGGAAATCTGTGAATGATCACAGAGGTCACATGGTACAAGGCTATTAACAACAGCCTTGTACCATGTGACAAGCTGTGACCCAATCACAGCTCACACAGTATTTCTCAATGGCTGCAAGAATGCCTTTATGGGTGTAAAAGCAATCAGTGTAAAAAAAAAAAAAAAGAAAAAAAAAATCTTCATCACCCCCACAAGTAATACAGTGTCACTATGGGTGCTAGGGTGACAGTATGTTAAAAAAAAAAAAACCCGCACAAATATAAAAAAAAATTAAAAATGTAAAAACAATTTTTGAAAAATAATTTTGGTTACTAATTTGGGTTTTTTTTTTACTACAAAGATAACTGACTACATTATGGCCAAGATTCATGAAGAAAGATTATTTATTTGCAAAATTGTATAAGAAAAACACTTTTTTTTCAAAATTTTTGGACTTTTTCATTTATATAGAAAAAAATAAAAATATGGGTACAGTGTTGCATGACCGCACAATTGTCATTCAAAGTGTGAAAGCACTGAAAGCTAAATATTGGCCTGGATAGGAAGGGGGTGAAAATGTCTGGACTGGAAGTAAAGTTTGACATGTTGGTTATCTATTTACTCGGTGCAACCTCATCTTTTATATTTTGCCAAAAAATAGGGAAATCTATTGCATTTGTTTTCCCTAAAATTCACTTCAGTGTGTTTTTTACTGAAATTTTGCATTTCCTAGACCTTCAGGTAATATCATGTGACATAAAAAAAAACAAAAAAAATGTAAAAAACGGCTCTGGCAGCGAAAGGTTTATAGCGTCACCTATGGGGATTTTTAGCTATCATAGTCCATGGCTGTGTGCTCAGTGTTAAAGCCTGGCATGTTTGGTATCTGTTTACTCGGTGTAACATCATCTTTTAGATTTTACCCAACAATTGTGTATGAGGCTGGGTTCACGCTAATGCGGTGCGGTACATCACATGTGATTCGCACAGGAACCGCACCGCATTCATGTGATTTGTGTGCGGTGCGATTGGAGTCATACATTTTGTAAGGCTTTTATCGCACTGCACCCGCACCAAAAAGGTGCAGGACCCTTTTTTGGGTCCCCGCTAGAATCAGATTGCATGGGTAATCACACCTATGCGATTTGATTCTGCACATCACACCGCGTTTTGTGGACCGCTTTCAGGTTGTGGGTAACTTAACCTCTTCACCCCGGCTGAACGCAAATGTGCAGCCTCCTGGCGTTTGGGCCTAGACGCCCTGCACGCTCCCAGCACACATGTCCGGTACACACGGAAAGGTCCCAATCTCCTCTTTCGATTGGGACCTTTCCCGCTCATGTGACTGCGAATCACGGCGGACAAATGACCCTAAAATCCCACCCTGCCTCCTGGCTTCTGAAACCCTTAAAGGGACGGGAGGCGCTGGCGCCAAGGGGTTAAAGTGTATTTTTTTTGCAAAAAATTTGCGCTTTAAAAACCGCTGCGCAAATATTGTGAGACAAAAATTGGACATACCCACCATTTTATTGTCTAGGGCCTCTGCTTCAAAAAGTATAGAATGTTTGGGGGTTCTAAGTAGTTTTCTAGCAAAACACTTTACTTTTTTTCACACGTCGGCGAGGAATGTCCCAGACTGGAGGTGGGTAAATACTGAAAAAAAAAAAAAAGAAATGATAAAACAGTTGAAGGAAGGAAGCGCCTGCAGGGAATATCGATGATGTCCTTCTACAGCCGTGCTTCTCCTTTACTAGTGAATTCTGGGTGAAGGATCCCCATAAAGGAAAGCGGTCCAGAGACAGCTATGGGAGCAGCCATTGTTCTTCCTGAAAATACCAGTTGCCTGGCTGTCACCCTCAGATACATTGACACCATGGCCGAGTTTACTGATTAGAACTTCTCCCTTCCTTGCTCTGTATCATAGTTCCATCGCTGGATTAAAGTGTGACAGCCAGGCAACCAGCATTTCCAGAAAGAATAATCTCCATAGCATGATCACACACTCACTGCTGGTATTCTATCAACGCCAAGCTGTTGCCCATAGCAACCACAACGCCTTGCATGAAGGATCCTGGTTGCTATGCAACAGCATTTTCTGCTCAAGAGCACATGGAACTACAGGGTCCACCATTATCTGTACGTCACATCTCACTCCAGGGAACGCCCCCTAAACCGGTCTCCATAGTGAGAGCCCAGGGACGGCCCATTTTATTTTCCTACAGCCGTCACGGCTTGCTCTGTGCCAATACCTGCTTAGCACAAGGCGTCACCCCAGCAACAGGTCCCCGCTCATTGGTTGGTGGCTGCTGGTCTGACGAGCGTCAGCCCTATCGCAGGCGTCAGTCCACTATGGAGCTAAGAAGCCATTGGCCAGTGCTGACAACTGGGGCGGGGCTAGATACCGGCAGCTGGCGAGTATAGCGGGACGTGTGTGGATGCTGTGACCGAGCAGAGCGCATAATCCCCGGCTATGGAGTTCCTGAGGTCCCTCGGCCACCCGGAGGAAATCTACAACCTCATCAGGTTCAAGATGGGCGGCTGTCAGGCGGTGATGCCCAGGATGGAGCAGGTGAGTGAATTCTGTATACCTCATGTATACCCCCCCCCGATCGGTCATGTGCTATCCTGTATACCTGCCATGTATACCCCCCCCTCTGATCTGTCCTGTCATCCTGTGCTATCCTGTATACCTGTCATGTATACACCCCCCCCGATCTGTCATGTGCTATCCTGTATACCTGCCATGTATACACCCCCCCCCTCTGATCTGTCCTGTGCTATCCTGTATACCTGTCCTGTATACACATACACCCCCCCTCTGATCTGCTCTGATCTGTCCTGTGCTATCCTGTATACCTGTCCTGTATACACCCCCCCTCTGATCTGTCCTGTGCTATCCTGTATACCTGTCTGTATACACCCCCCCTCTGATCTGTCCTGTGCTATCCTGTATACCTGTCCTGTATACACCCCCCCTCTGATCTGTCCTGTGCTATCCTGTATACCTGTCCATGTATACACCCCCCCTCTGATCTGTCCTGTGCTATCCTGTATACCTGTCATGTATACACCCCCTCTGATCTGTCCTGTGCTATCCTGTATACCTCCATGTGTAGCCCTATCTGTCCTGTATCCTGTACACCTGTCATGTATACACCCTCTGATCTGTCCTGTGCTATCCTGTATACCTGTCCTGTATACACCCCCCCCCCTATCCTGTATCTGTCATGTATACACCCCCCCCCGATGTCATGTGCTATCCTGTATACCTGTCATGTATACACCCCCCTCTGATCTGTCCTGTGCTATCCTGTATACCTGTCCTGTATACACAGCTCTCTGATCTGTCCTGTGCTATCCTGTATACCTGTCCTGTATACACCCCCCCTCTGATCTGTCCTGTGCTATCCTGTATACCTGTCCTGTATACACCCCCCTCTGATCTGTCCTGTGCTATCCTGTATACCTGTCATGTATACACCCCCGATCTCTGTGCTATCCTGTATACCTGTCATGTGCTCTCTGATCTGTCCTGTGCTATCCTGTATACCTGTCATGTATACACAGCCCTCCGATCTGTCCTGTGCTATCCTGTATACCTGTCATGTATACACAGCCCTCTGATCTGTTCATCCTGTATACTGTCATGTATACACAGCCCTCTGATCTGTCCTGTGCTATCCTGTATACCTGTCATGTATACACAGCCCTCGATCTTTCCTGTGCTATCCTGTATACCTGTCATGTATACACAGCCCTCCGATCTTTCCTGTGCTATCCTGTATAGCTGTCATGTATACACAGCCCTCTGATCTGTCCTGTGCTATCCTGTATACCTGTCATGTATACACCCCCCTGTCCTGATCCTGTATACCTGTCTGTGCTATCCTGTATACCTGTCATGTATACACAGCCCTCCAATCTGTCCTGTGCTATCCTGTATACCTGTCATGTATACACCCCCCCTCCTGATCTGTCATGTGCTATCCTGTATACCTGTCATGTATACACAGCCCTCCCCCTCTGATCTGTCCTGTGCTATCCTGTATACTGTCATGTATACACAGCCCTCCCATCTATCCTGTGCTATCCTGTATACCTGTCATGTATACACAGCTGATCTCCCTATCCTGTATCTGTCCTGTCCTGTGCTATCCTGTATACCTGTCATGTATACACAGCTCTCTGATCTGTCCTGTGCTATCCTGTATAGCTGTCATGTATACACAGCCCTCTCCGATCTGTCCTGTGCTATCATGTATAGCTGTCATGTATACACAGCCCTCTGATCTGTCCTGTGCTATCCTGTATAGCTGTCATGTATACACAGCCCTCTGTTCTGCCTGTGCTATCCTGTATACCTGTCATGTATACACAGCCCTCCGATCTGTCCTGTGCTATCCTGTATAGCTGTCATGTATAAACAGCCCTCTGATCTGTCCTGTGCTATCCTGTATACCTGTCATGTATACACAGCCCTCTGATCTGTCCTGTGCTATCCTGTATACCTGTCATGTATACACAGCCCTCCTCCTCTGATCTGTCCTGGTGGTTGTACCATGCAGCTCTCAGTCACTATAAAGGAAAGCTGTCCCCTCCCCCTCCCCCTCTGACTGATCCCCCCCCCCCCCCCCCCAGGACATGGATTCTGACTCCTGCACAGCCAGGCACTCAGCATTTTCAGAAGGTGGTGTGCAGTGCTTGTAGTGCGGGGGGGAGGGGAGGGGGGAGGGCTCTTCGTAGCATCAGAGGCCAATCACCTGATATTACCGGGTTGACTGCAACCTAATCTCCTAATCCCAGTAGACTGGATCTCCTCTACATGGGGGCAGTGACATCACAGCGAGGGTGGGGGTCATCATGGGATCTCCTCCCCCCTGGCGGCTCGTCTCTCCTGCTTCATCCTCCACTCTATCTTCAACATTTGACACTTCCTGGAGTGTCGGATGTCTTTAATGCCCCCTCCCCCCACCACACTGTGCAGATCTATCCCACCTCCACCATGTCACTGCTGTGTCCTGTTGTGACTGAGGGTGGGGGGTAGAGATGGAGCGCACAGTGGGGTACCCAGCATTCTACACAGCCAGACGATGACAAGGAGTCTGGGGGCCCACTGACATGTAGGAGATGATCAATTGTAGGGCCCATTTATATGTTTGCAGCCTTTGAAATGATCGGGCAGCCGGAGCAGCAAATTGTGGAATCAGCTCACTATGACATAGTGCAGGGGTGTGTTCTTCCTGCCCTCGCTGCGCCCCCTGCCCTCCCTGCGCCCCCTGTCCTCCCTGCACTTCCTCTGCCATTCCTGAGTCCTGGAATGCTGCTCTGCTGCTGAGCACTGTGTAGCTGACAGAACTGAAAGGAGTACGTTACTCCCCCCACACCCAGAAGTATCGAAGAGAGTCACGTGTCCCCCCCCCCCCACCCAGAAATACTGGGATAGAGCCACGTGTCGTCGTCCCCCCCCATACCCAGAAGTACCAGGAGAAAGTCACATGTCCCCCCCCCCCCCCATACCGGGAGAGAGTCACATGTTCCTCCCCCATACCCAGAAGTACCAGGAGAGTCACATGTCCCCCCCATACCCAGAAGTACCAGGAGAGAGTCACATGCCCCCTCATACCCAGACGTACCAGGAGGGAGTTGCATGTCGTCCCCCCCCCCCCCCCCATACCCAGAAGTACCAGGAAAGAGTCACATGCTCCCCCCCAAAACCAAAAGTATCGGGAGAGAGTCACATCTTCCCCCTCCTTATACCCAGAAGTACCGGGAGGGAGTCATATGTCCCCCCCCATACCCAGAAGTACCAGGAGAGAGTCACATCTCCCCCCCCCCCCCATACCCAGAAGTACCAGGAGAGAGTCACACGTCCCCCCCAAAACCCAAAAGTATTGGGAGAGAGTCACATCTCCCCCCTCCTTATACCCAGAAGTACCGGGAGGGAGTCATAAGTACCAGAAGTACCAGAGAGAGTCACATGTCCCCCCCCCCCCCCCCATACCCAGAAGTACCCACATGTCCCCCCCAAAACCCAAAAGTATTGGGAGAGAGTCACATCTCCCCCCTCCTTATACCCAGAAGTACCAGGAGAGAGTCACATGTCCTCCCATTGAGAGAAGTACTGGGAGTCACATGTGTCGCCCCCCCCCCCCCCCCCCCCCCCCCATACAGAAAAGTACTGGGAGTCACATGTGTCATCGTCCCCCATACAGAGAAGTACTGGGAGTCACATGTGTCCCCCCCCCCCCCCCCCCCCCCCATACAGAGAAGTACTGGGAGTCGCATGTGTCGTCCCTCCCCCCCATACAGAGAAGTACTGGGAGTCACATGTGTCGTTGTCGTCCCCCCCCCCAATTCCAGAAGTACTGGGAGAGAGCCGAGTCACATGTCCCCCCCCCCATACCCAGAAGTACTGGGACAAAGTCAAATGTCCCCCCCCATAACCAGGAAGTGGTCACATGTCCCAATTTGTTATTGCCATGCTTGTTCCGGGTCAGTGATTCAGCAAGTTGTGTAGGCAGCCAGGCAGCCGGCATTGTCAGGAGGTCAGTAGAAGTAGAGTGATGGTTTCCCTCAGACGGGGGAGGTCAGTAAGGGGCAATCTACATACATCTCCCAATGGTATCCTTGTTGTTGCTTCACTTCCTCCTGAGTCACTGTCCTGGAAGACTTGTGCGCACTTCACTGGCTGCATGCTTGTTCCAGGCCAGTGACCTGCATGACCCACATGCAGGTCTTTAAACACACAAGCAGCGCTATCATGTGCGTTGGAATAGTACTGCTTGCTGCATTTCTCTGCACCAGAATGTACCATAAACGCATGCAAGTGTTCATTAATGCATCGAAAACACAACTTGATTGAAAAAATACATTGAACCAAATGAAGAAAAAAATGCACCGCAAATGTGCATGAACGCATGCAAACGCACTTGAACACATGTAAATGCAATTTAGGAAAAAAAATTTAAACAAATTACAAAAACACACCGCAAACGCACATAAATGCAAGTAAATGCAACAGAAAAAATACATTGAAATAAATGAAAAAAATATTCCAAAAAAAAGCACCACGAATGTATGCAAATGCACTGCAAGTACAAATAAAAAGCATAAAAAATAAATGAAAAATAAAAAGCATGAAGGTGCAACATAGTAGAAAAAAATAAATTGGAAACAAATGAAACAATATTTAAAACAAAAACTCACTGCAAACATGCCTGAATGTATGCAAAGTACACAAACGCATGTAAATGCAACTTAGAAAACATTAATTGAAACAAGCAAAATTCCAAAAAACGCACCGCAAATGCCCATGAATGCATGCAAGTGCACATGAAATATGTAGGTGTAACATAGTAGGAAAATAAATTTGAAACAAATGAAACAATATTTTTTTAAAAATGCACCGCAAATGCCCATGAACGCATGTAAACACAACTTAGTAGAAAAAATAAAGTGAAAAAATATAAAAAAAAAAAAAAAACAGCACCGCAAAACGCACATGAATGCATGCAAATGTGCACTACAACTGCAAATGAACGCATGTAGGAGCAACTTGGTAGAAAAAATTAATTAGAAACAAATGAAACAATATTCCCAAATCCCATCGCAAACATGCATGAATGCATGCAAACGCACTGCAAGTACACATGAACACAGCAAAAATACATTGAAACCAAAAAAAATAATTAAATAATTAATAAAAATAAAATGAAATAATAATAATAAAACGATTGAAACAAAAAAAAATAATTTATAATTAATTAAAAAATAAATAAATAAATTGAAACATGCATGACTGCATGCAAACGCACTGCAAGTACACATAAACACAACTTAGAAAAAATACATTGAAACAAGCGAATAAATATTCCAAAAAAACCCACCGCAGACGGCCACGAAAGCATGCAAATGCACATGAAAGCATGTAGGTGCAACTTAGTAGGAAAAATAAATTAGAAACAAATGAAACAATATTTTAAAAAAATGCACCGCAAATGGACACAAACGCACATAAATGCAACCTAGTGGAAAAAATAAAATGAAATAAATGATAAAATACTCAAAAAAAAATGCACAACGAACGCATGCAAAATGCACATGATCACATGTAATCGCAACTTTGAAAAAATAAATTTAAACAAATGAAGAAATATTCCAAAAACCACACAGCAGACACGCATGAAAGCACGCAAACGCACTGCAAGTGCACATGAAGCATGCAGGTGTAACTTGAAAACAAATGAAAAAATCATTTTTTTAAAAAATGCATAATAAATGAAAAAAATTTAAAATATTTTAAAAAAAACAGCACCGCAAACGCCCATGAACACATGCAAACGCAGTGCAAGTGCACATGAACACATGTAGGTGCAACTTAGCAGGAAATATAAATTAGAAAAAAATAAACAATATTTAAAAAAATTCACACAAACGCACATAAATGCAACTTGGTAGAAAACATTTATTGAAATAAATGATAAAATACTTAAAATATGCACCGCAAACGCATGTAATTGCAACTTTGTAAAAATAAATTCAAACAAATGAAAAAATATTCCAAAAAATGCACAGCAAATGTGCATGAATGCACGTAAACGCACTGCAAGTACACAAACGCATGTAGGTGCAACTTCGTAGATAAAAATAAATTGAATCAAATGAAAAAAAATAATCAAAAGAAAGCATTGAAAACGCAAATGAATGCAAGTAAACGCAATAGAAAAAAATAAATTGAAATAAATAAAAAATATTCCAAAAAAAAACCCACCACAAATGGCCATGAATGCATGCAAACGCATTGCAAGTATAAATGGAAGCATGAAGGTGCAACTTAGTGTAAAATCTAAAATTAAATAAATGATAAAATAAACAAAAAAAAAATGCACCGCAAACGCATGTAATCGCAACTTTGTAAAAATACATTGAAACAAATGAAAAAATATTCCAAAAACTGCACAGTAGAAGCGCATGAACGCACGTAAACGCACTGCAAGTGCACATGAAGCATGCGGGTGTAACTTAGTAGCAAAATAAATTGAAACAAATGAAAAAATATGGAACAGAAACATTGAAAACACATGCGTATACATTGCAAGTGCAGATAAATAATTGCAAGTGCAGAAAACATAAATTGAAACAAATGAAAAAACTAAAAAAAATGCATCGCAAACGCATGCATACACATTGCAAGTGCACATGAACACACATAAATGCAACTTAGTAGAAAAAATAAATTGAAATAAATGATTAAATAGTAAAAAAAAAAGAAAAAAAAAAGGCACCGCAAACGCATGTAATTGCAACTTTGTAAAAATACATTGAAAAATGAAAAAAAATTATAAAACCTGCACTGTAGAAGCGCATGAACGCACGCAAACGCACTGCAAGTGCACATGAAGCATGCGGGTGTAATTTACTAGCAAAATAAATTGAAACAAATGAAAAAATACTGAAAAGAAAGCATTGAAAACGCATATGAACGCATGTGTATACGTTGCAAGTGCAGAAGAACGCAAGTAAATGCAACTTAGTAGAAAAAATAAATCGAAACAAATGAAAAGATATTCCAAAAAACGCACATGAAGCATGCAGGTGTTACGTAGTAGAAAAAAAATACACTGAAACAAATGAAAAAAAAAATGCATATGGACGTACGCAAACGCACTGTAAGTGCACATGAAGCATGCAGGTGTAATATAGTAGAAAAAATACATTGAAACAAATGTAAAAAATACTCAAAAAAATGCACCGCAAACGCATGTAATCGCAACTCTGTAAAACACATGAAAAATAAATTGAACAAATGCAAAGATATTCCAAAAACCGCACAGCAAACGCACATGAACGCACGCAAACGCAGTGCAAGTGCACATGAAGCATGTAGGTGTAACTTAGTAGAAAAAAATAAAATTGAAACAAATAAAAGAAATACTCCAAAAAATGCACCGCAAACGCATGTAATCCCAACTTTGTTAAAATCCATTGAAACACATGAAAAATAATTAGTAGAAAAAAGAAATTGAAACAAATGAAAAAAAATGCTCAAAAAAAAATGCAACGCAAACGCATATGAACACATGCAAACGCACTGCAAGTGCATGTAATTACAACTCTGTAAAAATACATTGAAACAAATGAAAAAATATTCCAAAAACTGCACAGTAGAAGCGCATGAATGCACGCAAACGCACTGCAAGTGCACATGAAGCATGCGGGTGTAAGTTAGTAAAAAAATAAATTGAAACAAATGAAAAAATATTGAAAACGCATGCGTATACGTTGCAAGTGCAGATGAACGCAAGTAAATGCAACTTAGTAAAAAAAAAAATAAATTGAAACAAATGAAAAGATGTTCCAAAAAACGCACAGCAAGTGCACATGAAGCATGCAGGTGTAACTTAGTAGAAAAAAATAAATTGAAACAAATGAAAGAAATACTCCAAAAAATGCACCGCAAATGCATGTAATCGCAACTTTGTTAAAATCCATTGAAACACATGAAAAATAATTAGTAGAAAAAAGAAATTGAAACAAATGAAAAAAAATACTCAAAAAATGCAACGCAAATGCATATGAACACATGCAAACGCACATGAAGCATGTAGGTGTAACTTGAAACAAATGAAAAAATCCTAAAAACAAAAAAAATGCACCGCAAATGCATTTCTCTGCACTGTCCCTCTGGCGGTGTAGGGCCCCCGCTTTCCTCTATGTAGGGCCCCGCTTTCCTCTATGTAGGGCCCCACTTTTCTCTGCGCTGTCCCTCTGGCAGTGTAGGGCCCCGCTTTCCTCTATGTAGGGCCCCGCTTTTCTCTGCGCTGTCCCTCTGGCGGTGTAGGGCCCCGCTTTCCTCTATGTAGGGCCCCGCTTTCCTCTGTATAGGGCCCCGCTTTCCTCTATGTAGGGTCCGCTTTCCTCTATGTAGGGTCCGCTTTCCTCTATGTAGGGCCCCGCTTTCCTCTAGGGCCCCGCTTTCCTCTGTGTAGCGCCCCGCTTTCCTCTCTGTAGGGCCCGCATTTCCTCTGCGCTGTCCCTCTGGTGGTGTAGGGCCCGCTTTCCTCTATGTAGGGCCCGCTTTCCTCTATGTAGGGCCCCGCTTTCCTCTATGTAGGGCCCCGCTTTCCTCTGTATAGGGCCCCGCTTTCCTCTATGTAGGGTCCCGCTTTCCTCTAGGGTCCCGCTTTCCTCTATGTAGGGCCCCGCTTTCCTCTGTATAGGGCCCCGCTTTCCTCTATATAGGGCCCCACTTTCCTCTATGTAGGGTCCCGCTTTCCTCTATGTAGGGCCCCGCTTTCCTCTATGTAGGGTCCCGCTTTCCTCTATGTAGGGTCCCGCTTTCCTCTATGTAGGGCCCCGCTTTCCTCTAGGGCCCCGCTTTCCTCTGTATAGGGCCCGCTTTCCTCTCTGTAGGGCCCGCTTTCCTCTGCGCTGTCCCTCTGGTGGTGTAGGGCCCTGCTTTCCTCTGTGTAGGGCCCCGCTTTCCTCTGTATAGGGCCCGCTTTTCTCTGCACTGTCCCTTTAAGTGGTGAACAAAGCAGCTGTTGTGCAAGGAAAGGGTTAACATGGGGAGATGTGTGACCCCGCCCATAGGCTATGAAAACATTGGGGAGGGGGTGGGGCCGTGTGGGTGTGTTGTGAAGCCCCCCTCGTGTAGAGTTCTGTCCTGTCAGCCTCCATGGGCACTCTCCTTCCCCTGTGCTGGGCCGGGGGGCGCCGTTGCTGAGCTCTGTGTCCCGGAGGGGAAGTTTCTCCAAGTTTGGCCCATGGCCAGTATGAACTGCAAGGTGGCCGCCTGTCTGTTCAAGAGGACGCTGTGCCTGTCTCCTGCTCAGAAGGCCGGAGGGCAGAGGTCTGTGCTGACGGTCAGCAGGCTGCAGGAGAGGGGGCTCCGGGAGGGGCGCACCGTACACAAATGCTTTGCCCCCCACAACTCCTCCGTCTGCAGGTTTCATGCCGTCTCTTTACCCCGACAGGACTCCATGAGCCCGAGCCTGCACACCTGCTACAAGTACCTGAACGAGACCAGCCGCAGCTTCGCCGCAGTCATCCAGGCCCTGGACGGGGAGCTCCGGTGAGTGCCAAACTTAACCCCTCGCTAGCATGGCCAGCAATCCAGACCGACAACTCCCACTCGTCTGGCCGAGTCGCAGACCTTTGTGTAGCCACCATTTCCGGAGACCTTCAGGATTTAAAGGTGAACTCTGGGGAAGTTTCCCATACCACCCTTGTAGTGGGGGCTCCTCTGCACTGGAAGGGGTTAAATCCTTGTGTTTGTTTTTGGGGGCATTTAAAGGGACATTTCCTGAAAGTAAAACTTTGGATAGAACAAGGGCTCCTTCAGATGGGGGCAGTAAAAACTGAGCTGTGGCTTTACCTCCCCCCGCCCCTCCCAGCTGCCTATCTGAATTGTAATAATACAGGGCTGTTAGGGGCGGACTGACAACTCATGGGGCCCCCAGGCAATAGGGGATCATGGGGCCCCAATGTCCTCGCCCAGACTAAAGCACACCCAAAAAAGCCTATGAAAGGTACCAGGGGCATCTCATGGGGCCACTTACTGACTCCGGGCCCTTGAGCTGTTAGGAGTGGATTGGCAACTCATGGGGCCCCTGGGAAATAGGGGATCATGGGGCCCTGTGTCCTCGCCCAGATTCAAAGCACACCCCAAAAAGCCTATGAAAGGTACCAGGGGCATCTCATGGGGGCCCCCTACTGACTCCGGGCCCTCGGGCAGTGCTGTACACATGCCACAGCATTGTTATCTTGGGGTGCAGAGTTTGGCATGTGGCGTTGCCTGTCGATCACGTCCAATGAGGCCACACCACAACACTGGGTTCACTTGGTGCGTTGTGCTGCAATTTAAACTGGCTGTTCAGCCCTTTTAAATAATAAAGTTGAAAAAAAAAAAAGCAGTTGTGCCTCTTGATTGTCAGCCACTGCTTTACTGCTCTCTGAAAAGCAATCCACTGCGGATCACTTTTCAGAGGGCGGTAAACTACTAATATGAAATTAAGCCAGAGCGAGGATTATATTCTCTGCCAGATTTTTGCCATCTATGTCATATTGGGGAGATTTCGCTTCACTTCTTGTCACATAGCAAAAACAGGAAGTGAGGGGGAATCCCTGGTTGTTACCAGAGCTCGTGTCCCCATTGGTGTATTATCCCTTCACTTCCTGTCCTGTAACCAAAACAGGAAGTAAACACAAACATGCAAAGTAAGGGAATCCCTGGTTGTCACCAGAATTAGTGCCTCCATTGAAAGATTTCCCCTCTATTCCTGTTCTGTGGCCCATTGGGGAGATTTCCCTTTTTTCCACTTCTTGTCCCATAGCCAAAACAGGAAGTGAAAAACATCCCTCCAAAATGAGGAAAACCATGGTTGTCACCAGAACTAGTGTCCCCATTGGAAATATTTTGCTTTACTTCCTGTCCCATAGCCACAACAGGAAGTAAGAGAAAATATATCCAAAATCTGGGAATCCCTACTTGTCACTATAACTAGTGTCCCCCATGGGGAGATCTCCCTTCAATTCCTTTCCCATAGACAAAACAGGAAGTAAAAAAAAAAAACAAACTCCAAGTGTCGGAATCCCTGGTTGTCACCAGAATGAGTGTCCCCATTGGGGGGGATTTCTCTTTACTTCCTGTCCTATAGCCAAAACAGGAAGTAGAAAAAAACATGCAAAGTAAGGGAATCTTTGGTTGTCACCAGAACTAGTGTCCTCATTGGAAATATTTTGCTTTACTTCCTGTCCCAAAGCCACAACAGGAAGTTAGAGTACATGTCTCCAAAATCTGGGAATCCCTAGTTGTCACTAGAACTAATGTCCCCATTAGGGAGGTTTCCCTTCCCTTCTCATACCATAGCCAAAGCAGGAAGTGATAGGAAATCCCTGGTTGTCTCCAGAGCTAGTGTCCTCGTTAAGGTGATTTCTCTTCACTTCCTGTCCCATAGCCAAAACAGGAAGTTAAAAACAAACAAACTCCAAAGTGTGGGAATCCCTGGTTGTTACCAGAACTAGTGTCCCCATTGGAAGATTTCCCCTCTCTTCCTGTTTTGGTGACAACCTAATATTTGGGATTCTCTTTTACTCTCTGTGATGAGAATGAACAGGACATGAGGGGGAATCTCCCTATCGGGGCCACAGACAGAATCTCCCTATCAGGGCCTTTTAATGCCATTTAATTCTACTTTAAGGTGCCCAGCGATTATTTAACCCTTGCAGTGCAGGCGAGCCCCCTCTGTGAAGGGAGGTGAGCAGGGAGCGGAGACGGTCCACCTATGTGAGGTTGTGACGGGTTGGTCATGTGATCGATGATTGTGTTCGGACACGGCGTTATACAGGGATCGGCAGGACGTCAGATGTCCCGTGTGTAGAGGGCCAACCTGCCTCTGCCTGTCTATGGTGTGTGTTCAGGAAAGATATTCATGCCGGTTCTGAAGGGGGGAGGATTGGAACCCCTGCTGGGTTTTACCTGCTAGGAGAGATTTCCCCTCACTTCCTGTCCTGGTGACAACAGTTATACCAGAGGGAAAATCTGCAGAAGGGACACACAGCAGGAAAATGCTGACTAGGCTTCCCCTAAGATGGAATATTTTTTGTTTTTCTCTGTTTTTAGGCTGACTGTACACTATACAATCTGATTGTCCAATCGCCTTTTTAGCTTATCATACACTCTACAACCTGTACAATTTCCTATACACTCACCATACACTATGAAATGTGATTGTACAATTTCCTATACACTCACCATACACTATACAATCTGATTGTACAATTTCCTATACACTCACCATACACTATACAATCTGATTGTACAATTTCCTATACACTCACCATACACTATACAATCTGATTGTACAATTTCCTATACACTCACCATACACTATACAATCTGATTGTACAATTTCCTATACACTCACCATACACTATACAATCTGATTGTACAATTTCCTATACACTCACCATACACTATGTAATCTGATTGTACAATTTCCTATACACTCACCATACACTATGAAATGTGATTGTACAATTTCCTATACACTCACCATACAATCTGATTGTACAATTTCCTATACACTCACCATACACTATGTAATCTGATTGTACAATTTCCTATACACTCACCATACACTATACAATGTGATTGTACAATCTACTATATGCTCACCATACACTATGCAATCTGATTGTACAATCTCCTTTAGATCTGCCATCAACTTTTGTAAACCAAGAGCTTGCCTGATGAGATGCCTATGGACTGGATAGGGGAGGTTGGCGAGCTTCTCCTATTACTTAGTTTTGGTAGACTTAAAGTTGATTGTACAGAGATTGCATTGTGTGTGGTGTCCCTTCCATTGATTATACACTATAGGATCTGATTGTACAACCTCCTTTGCACTCGCCATACACTATACAATCTGTACAATCTCCTGTACGCTCGCCATACACTATATGTTCTGATTGTACAATCTCCTTTAGATCTACCATCAACTTTGTAAACCAAGAGGCTGCCTGATGAGATGCCTATGGACTGGATAGGTTGGCGAGGTTCTCCTATTACATAGTTTTGGTGGATCTAAAGTTGATTGTACAGAGATTGCATTGTGTGTGCTGACCCTTATGTTGATCATACACTATAGGATCTGATTGTACAATCTCCTTTAAATCAAATCTCACTTCTGTTGTGCCTGATTTGAAACTTTGATTGCATTTTTTTTTTTCCATGTGTCCTTGTAAATCAGATTGTATAGTGTATGGCCAGCTTTACCTTCACTTCCTGTCTTGGAAAACCATTGTCACCACGACAGTAATCTGCAGAATGTTGCCATGGATGGTAGTACAACCCAAATAATAAGGGGTCCTCGCCTTCCTAATAGTATCTGTAAGAAAAACCAAAGAATTCTCCTAAACTATACAGGGAGACATCTCGGGACGGCTCTTCTCTGTGAAAATGCTACTTGCCTGGCTGTCATGGCGATCACCGTCTTCAGTACGGAGTCCTGGAAGTAAGAAGCACACGGGAATTGGAACGTTGCTCTGTTTGCAATGCTGCTTCCAGGTCCGGGATTCAGAAACACAACAGCCAGGCAATGCGCAGTGTACCAAGGAGGCCAGATATGGATGGAGACACCTGGCTCCTGCACTCTGCACATTTAACCCCTTCCTGTGTGGTTTATTCTTTGTTTTTTTACATTATTATTATTATTATTATTCCTGGCTCCTTCACTCTTCACAAGGAGATTTAACCCCTTACTGTGTTTTTTTACATTATTATACCTGGCTCTTTCACTCTTCAGCAGGGAGATTTAACCCCTTCCTGTGTTTGTTTGTTTTTTGTTTTGTTTTTTTTTGTTTTTTATTTACATTATTATTCCTGGCTCCTTCACTCTTCAGCAGGAGATTTAACCCCTTCCTGTTGTTTTTACATTATTATTATTATTATTCCTGGCTCCTTCACTCTTCAGGAGATTTAACCTCTTCCTGTTTTGTTTTTTTTTTTTTTTTTTTACATATGTAGGTATTATGATTCAGCATAAATATTTGTCGTCTAATAGGGCTTGTTTACACTGGTGTTGCCCTCTGAAGAGCGAACTGTGGCGTATTGCTTTTCAGAGTTCATTTGATAGGTGGTGAGGTATCTTCCTCACTGCTTGTTTTAACCCCCCACCCATAAGCCCACTCCATCATTCAACTACCAGGTGTATCGCACACAGTGGTGGGCCACTTGCAGCGCAGACCCGTTCACTTGAATAGGTCGCATACAGCAGGCAGAACTGCCTAGTGAACGTGACAGTGGCTTGCCAGAACAAATGTGTATTTTTACTGCCCCCCCCACCAGCTGCAGGTATAAAGCCTGGTTCACACAAGTGCGTCTTTTTTTTTTTTTTTTTTTTTTTTTTTTTTTTTTTTTTTAGTGCTCTTTGCAGAAACGCATTGCCCTCCATTTAACACTAGGTTCACACCTATGCGTTTTCCACTGTGTTTTGCAGAAACGCACAGCAGTCCATTTAACATGATTTCCTGTGGGACAGGTTCACGTCTCCGCATTTTCACCCAGTGCGT